TGCCTAACCCAAAGTCACAAAGATTGTTCTCCTATGTTTTCTTCTAAAAGTTTTACAAGTTTGTATTTACTTGGATCTATGATCCATTTTCAGTTTTTAAAGTAAGTTATGAGTTCTAGGTTACTTTTTTTTTTTTTTTTTGCATATGGATATCTAGTCATTCCAGGACCACTTGTTAAAGACCATCATTTCTCCACATTATACAGTTTTTATTTTAAAAGAAAGAATGTGATTCTGTCTAGCATGAGAACTCAAACATCTTCTATCATGAAAGGAGAAAATTCCTTGGACCCACTGGCTCAGGGGTGGCTGAGAGAGAGTCCCCTTTGCTCAGAACAGACAATATTTGTTTTACTAGCAGTGTCATAAAACCAAACATAATTTATACTCCATTGCTGGGATTTCTAGGTTGTTGAGGGTTTTTGTTTGTTTGGCCCAGCTTTTAGAAGAAATTTTAACCATTTATGGGCACGAAAATTCTTTTTTTGACAAATTGGATGTATACTAAAACTTAACAATGAGAACAAAACTGAAGTTTGTTTAGTCTAACTTTTAGTTTTTTGAATTAGAAAAATAATACATGCTTAACGTAAAATCTAAATACAGGTGACCCTTGAATAATACGAATTTCAACTGCATGGTCCACTTAGCTACAGATTTTTTTCAATAAATAGAGTACAATACTGCAAATGTATTTCCTTTTTCTTACAGTTTTCTTAATAACATTTCTTTTCTCTAGCTTACTTCACTGTAAGAATACGGTATACTGAAATACAATAACATAAAAAATATGTGTTCACTGTTTATCGGTAAGGCCCCTGATCACTGGCAAGCTATTAGCAGTTACGTTTATGGAGAGTCAGAATTTATACATGGATTTTCAACTGCTGTGTCAGTGCCCTAACCCCCCATTGCTCAAAGGTCAGCTGTACTACAGAAGAATCATCTAGAAATTGGGATACATGGCATAGTGGTTTCCTATTGCTTCTCGGTTCCCTTTCCTTGGTCCTTTTGATGGGCTTCTCTCCCTTTTTATGATCTCAGATGTTGGCATACCCCAGGGTTTCATCTTTGGATCTCTTTATTTCTTTATTTTACTAGCTCTCTAGGTGATGTTGTTTAATCATGTGGTTCTGCGCACCACATGTGCTCCCAGGAGTCAAGGCTGTGTCTCCAGCCTAAGCTCTTCTCCAAACTCCAGACCAGTACGGGTAGCTGCCTCTTCAGAACATCTACCGCGTGTAACAGCAGCTTGTCTGACACAGAAATCTTGGGGCACCTGGGTGGTTCAGTCGGTCAAGCATCTGCCTTTGGCTCAGGTCACGATCCCAGGGTCCTGGAATCGAGTCCCATGTTGGGCTCCTTGCTCAGCGGGGAGCCTGCTTCTCCCTCTTCCTCTGCCCCTCCCTCTACTTGTGCTCTCTCGAACTCTCTCTCCAAATAAATAAGTAAAATTCTTAAAAAATAAAAAATAAAACAGAAATCTTGGTCTCTTCTTTGCCCCATCTTTCCTTCCTTAGCAAATGGCACCGTCATTCCTTTATATACCAAGGCCAGAAACCCAGACCTGAGATGTCAGCTCTCAGTAGCTTGGACATGACACTCAGCATCCTGTAGGCTCTTCCACCCCTCACTGTAAAGAACACACTGAGCGGACCCCCCTCTCACTATGCAGCTGCTCCCTGTCTGGCTCCTGCCACAGTGGTGCCTGGTCTAGAAGGTGGCCTTGCCTCCCAGCTTACTTCTCTGCTTCCACACTCACTGCTGCAGTCAGGCCCCTGCACAGCAGCCCTGGGGCTCTTCAGGACAGAAAGCACATCATGTCCTTCTCCAGCTCAGATCTCGCTAATGCTTTTATCACATTCTGAAGAAAATCTTTGCCCTGGCCTTCAAGACCGTATGTGATCTGGCTACAGCCTATTTCTCCAAATTTTTATTTCCTGGAACCTTTATTTCCCCCTCCCCCCGCCCCCACATGGTTCACTCTGCCTTTTTGCTACTCTTTGAACACAAGCCTATTCCCACTTTAGGGCTTTGCTTGAGCTGGTTCTCTGCCCCCGGGGTGCCCTTCCCAATGTTCTCTTCTCCCCTGAGTCACCCATTTACTAGAACTGTTATTTGTTCCTTGCCTTGCCTTGCCTCCCCTCTCAGAAATACCTGCCCCCTCCTTTCCTCCCCCATCTTCTCAGTCTGCTGTGTTTTTCTTCAGAGAATTTACCACTACCTGGCATCATATATTTGTTTGTTTGCTGTCTGCCTTCCCGACTGAAATGTAAGCTTCCTGAAGGTGGGACTTGATGTGGGTCACAGCTCTATCCCCAACTTCTAGAACAGAGTACAGCCCATAGTAGATGTTCAGTAAACATTTATGGCAGGATTAAATACAGGATTAGAGTCATACATGTACACTACTTTTCACCCTACTTCATTCCCACACCTTCTCTGGAACTAATCACTGTTAATAGCTTGGTGACTAACTTCCTGGGCTTAAAAACAATGCATTTATGAATGCAGACACACATTCAGTTTTTTTTAATGGAATGCAAACTGTTCCATACCTTTATTTTCGCTCAGTAGTTTACTTTAGAATTTTTTCCATTTTAGTTTATTTTTTCATGTAATCTATGTATTTATATAGGTCTTTTTAGTGCTTACATTGTAGTTCATACTATAGATATATAATTTATTTAATCATTTTCCTGTTGATATGTGGGTTGTTTTCCCTGTTTCCTTATTATAATCAAGGCTGCAGTGAATATGCTTGTCCTTAAATCTTTGTGCATATGGGAAAATTGGTCTCAAATTATAGAACCGCCTGGATCAGTACTTGAGAGGTATTGCTTAATTTGTCCTTCTAAAACATTATACTGATTTATAATCTCGCCAACAATATATGAGGGCCCATTTCCCCATATCCTGGCCAACACCAGGTATTACCCCACATCCCAAATATTTTTTAATGTTGGGGGAAAAAAGTTTTACTCTCTTACGAAAGAGAAAGCCTAAACTCTGGTGATTGAAAATCTTACAGGCCGGTAGATAACCAGCCACTTCCTACACTGGTAAGCTCCTAAGCTTCTGGATTCTAGGTTAGCCTGTTTCGTAAAGATAGTTCCTTTTAAAAAGAAATGTCAGAATTAAAGGAATAAAGTGATTCAAGATGAGAACTATATTGTACCTGGAAAGAAACTTTCAGATACTGTTTTCCCGAGAAGACATATTTCATAATGTGTCCTGGGAGATCCAAAACCACAGGCCCAGGTTTCCTCATTTTCTTGCTGTAATTCATTCCTGGATGATTTTTTTCCCCCTGAGAAAGAATCCACAACACAAAACCTCAAACGTTGGCATTGGCTGGAGAGTTAATGAAAGACATAGCCATTGGTGATTTACTATTTGCTTGTCTGTGGTTTGTACTGGGCCTTATGAGAAGGACTCAAAGAACAAGAGAAGTTATCTATTTTAATAACTATGACTTGGGGCCCAAAACAGAAGCACAGGCATGACTACGAAGACAGATGCCAACCCAGGGGAGGGAGGTACAGCCCAAGTAGCACCCGGGTGTTTCTGTGACTTGGGTTGGTTTTAATCCAAAGCTAGTGGGATCGTTGGTTAGCTCACAGGCTAGCCTTTGCCCTGGTAGTGAGCTGCCAGGGCTGGGATGAGTCCCAAACGGCAACCCCTGAGTCTTCTCTATCTTTCATCAGCTGTCAAGATGGGTTTGGGAATAGAGGCACTTTTATGGCATCAGTATATCAGGGTTTGAAGAATTCCTTAAAATTACCTGCTTTTACTCGCTATATGGATGGCAAGACTGAGGCCCAGTGAGATAAAATGACTTAGATGGGTAAGGATCATCACGTTTTAAGCATGATCCTATTGAATAATGAAAAAGAAGAGCTCTTGTACTTGAACTTTAAAGACATAACAGATTCTTGGTGGAATGGTACTTCTGCCTAGAAATTCCTAAGGCAGGAGTGGCACATAACTGGCCTCCGTGCCACCATACACCCCCGCAAATGCCCACAGCAGATGTCGGCAGTCAACCCCAGCTCTCTTTCCTCAACCAAGCCCTCGCCCAGCCGGACAATCCTCCTTCACACAGTGCTGGAGGCAGCAGGTCAGAATGGATCTGAGTTTTTTCATGTGAGTTAAAATCTGTTTCTGTTTGCACCTCCCCTCTAATGATTGGTGTATCCCTGTGATTCCTGATGTGAAAAGACCTCTGGACGTTAAGCCAGAAGAACGTGGTTTGACTGCTGGATTTTCTTGCTCCTGGCTCTGTGATCTTGGGCAAGTCACTTAGCCTTTCACTCATGCTTGTCTCTGAAACGAAGAAGTTGAATTAAATCACCTTTAAGGTTCCTTCCAGCTCTGAAAAATGTCATGATTCAATGTCTAGAGACCTCTCAGGAGGAATTCATAGTTGCAACTATGTATTTTTATAAAGACCCAGGGGGTTTTTAGGCAGTTTGTATATTACAAAGCTATTCTGTATCCTTCCTTATGTGTTTGTAGCTTTTTCTGATGACTTTTTGAGCTTTTTCTTTTCATCTGCTCAGATCATTGACCCATATCTCTGAAACCAGAATTTAGGGGTTTCAAGGAGAGGAGGCGGGGACATGCCCGCTCAAAACCAGACGAATTGCAGGAACCTCCTCTTACCTTCAGGGAACTTGAATGTTCTCACACTCCAGACTGAGCAACGCTCAGCTGCCCC